CATAAATGCCGAGGCCATAGGCCGAGGTCCAGCTGAGAGTGAAACCCGAAGCGTCCGCACGCCACCGTACGTAGGTAGTATACAGAGGCTCTATTAAAAGTACAAGATCTCACAATTTTTAAAAATGTAACATATAATATTATAGTTTTTGCAGGCCGTTGATCACTCTTTTATATTTTCCACATTTAGGTCCTCTCATATTTGATTCTTTGGAATGTACACTGCGTACAACGATCTAAATATCTTTTTTCCACAATATTGGGAAGTATGCGCTCTATTTCTATCAGTGAGTCTAAACCTGTAACTTTATGTATATATAGTATATATATGTATAATATTTTAATAATTATTATTACATTAAATAAAGTTTTTTTAAATAATTATTTTGAATACACTTTAAAAATTTATCTTATCTCGACTCCAATACAAATCAATTTAAGAACATAATTAGCATTCCTATGTTTGTGTAATTTAAATTACTGTTATAATTTCATTGGGTGTCTAACTTATTTATATGCAACCAAACATTTAATTTCTTTTAATAAATAAAATATTAAACAAGGCACAATCACAAAATTTGTTAGTGCCTGAAACGCTAACCACGAAAAGCCAAGAAAAAAAAGTTTTGGAATTTTAGTGTTACTAATCTTAATACTGGCTCCTTGAAAACTGGGAGAAATAAGCTTTTAAATATTATGGATACGAATAACTCAGATATGTTGGGAGTGACAGATTCGCCTTACAAAGCTTAGACTATGGAACTTTGGAATGAAAACATAAACATTTTATTGTCTTTGTTTAACTACTGCGTGTCGTCGTAAGCTAAAAGAGATAACATTACATTGGTCTGTGCCAAATACGGGAATCGAAAATACTTAACGTCATCTTAAATGCCTACCGTTTTCATTTCGCATTACATGAGGTAGGTACATGATACGGTTGTCAAAGGGAAGTACATCAAATATCAAAACAAATGTTTTTTCAAGTGTTTTGCGTAAAAACATTTGGAAATTTTAATTTATAAAATGGACGAAAATTTTGAAAGTGAGAACAATTAGGTATTAATAAAAATGCGTCGCTACAGCATTAAGGGACGTGACATTAGCCAAAGCGAAAATCAACCGAATAACATTGCACAGACATGGTTATTTTTCTGTCTATAAATCAAACAGCAGCCCAAAGATCTCATGTAATTAGACTTATTTAAGTAGTTTATTCATAAATCTTGCCAAATTTTGCTTTGATTACTTCTGATTACTTACTTGTTTGTATATTTTAATGATTGTTGTTTAGGATTCTTTTGTGATAGTGTTGTTCTTGTAAACGTACTTATTATCCATATTCTGTTATGAAAACAATTCACTACGAGGTTTTTATTATTATTATTTTTATTATTTCAATTTTACCAACAAATGAAAAAAGAAGGGTTGGAAATCATAGGTTTGCCGAATATGAATATTATTATATAATTATTAATTTCATTTTGAAGAGTCAAATTTTACCAGAACTTTAAATGTAACTAGATTACATGATAATGCAATTCCATCATTAGGTTTATTGGTAAATAATGTTATATTTAATTTAGATTCAACAAGACTCATTTACTAGGCATTCTCAGTTCCTGAAAACAAAAGTATCCACTCGTTGCAGATTTTTTCATACGTTTTAATCACAGTAAACTAATTACAGTAAACTAAAGAAACAAAAAAAAAAACTATTTCAACATTCAAGTCATGCATGTTTGCATGTCGACAATGACTTATCGATAGATTATAGTACAACGCTATAGAAATCCGCCATTTGTAGCGTTCAATTTTTGTTTTGATACCCACGTTCATTCTGTAGTTAGGGCAGCTCCTTTCTTTTATTTTTTTTCCATTCTCTAAGCAAATAAGTCAGACATAGTCATTCTTTCTAGAAGTCAGAAACAAAATAATAGGGGTTAAAGTATGAAATTGCCGATTTGTACTGAAAATCTAAATTGTTTATTTTTTAAATTTTTAACAAATTTATTTAATCAAAATAGTTGCCATTATTATCTATACATTGCTGCCATCTAATGGGAAGGTTATTAATGCCTTTGCGATAGAACTCCGACGATCTAGACTGCACAAACTGTGTGAAAGCATTTTGTACTGCCTCCTGGGAAGAAAACTTCTTGTCACGTAGATAATTGTCCAAATCACAAAAAAAATGGTAGTCCATTGGAGCAAGGTCTGGTGAATACGGAGGATGACGAATGGTTTCTAACTGCAGTTCCTGAAGGGTCAATGGTTTCTCGTGCTGTGTGAGGTCTCGCGTTGTCGTGGAGCAATAATGGTGAAGATCGATTCATGAGTCGGGGCTGTTTTACTGCTAGTTTTGTCAACATGGTTCGGAGTTCACAATAGACATCTGCCGTTATTGGTTGACCAGATCGGAGAAAACTATAGTGAATAACACCATGCTGAGACCACCAAACAGTTACCATTACCTTTTTATTGGTAAGTTTTGCTTTAGGACACTGTTGTGGCATTTGACCTGGGGTCAGCCATTGCATTTTTCTTTTCCGGTTATCATAAAGAATCCACTTTTCATCACATGTTACAATTCGATCCAATATTCCTTCATTTCTGTACCGGTTCAACAAGGCAACACAAGTTTCAACACGCGTTTCTTTCTGCAGATCAGTCAAATCATGAGGCACCCATTTTTCGTATTTTTTTATTTTATTGATTTACGCAAGTGAGTCAATATTGTGGGTAAGGTAACGTTAAACCATGCCGCTAATTCCTGGGTAGCTTGACTAGGATCGGCTTCTACTATCTCTCTTAATTCATCGTTATTCACCTGTGTGGGCGGTCTTCCTCGTGACTCGTTCTTTAAGTCGAAATTTCCATCACGAAAGCGTTTAAACCAAAATCGCACGGTGCGTTCATTAGTAGACCCCTCTCCAAACGCAGCATTGATATTGCGGGCTGTTTCTGCCGCGTTAGTTCCGCGTCGGAACTCGTATTCAAAAATCACTCGAATTTTCGCAGTATCCATCTTTCTTGTCTAAATTGAATAACAAAAACAATTGAAAGTCGATATTCAAATGTTTCAAATTAAAAAAAAAAATCACAGAAACCATTTGAAAAAAGTTTCATTCGAAAACCTCAAACCATGAAGATTCTATGAAAATTCAAAGAACCTATTGCAATAAAACGGCAATTTCATACTTTAACCCCTAATATTATATTATAGAGGCATATCTTTTAGTACATAAACCGAGAAATACTGGCACTCTGCGTTATGGCATTATGCGTCTGAATCCTGGAGTATTTTAATATTACGAAAGTACTGATTCCACCGAACGACCTTGAACAACTGGTATACTTCAAAATTGACAAACATAATAATTATAGCAGTTGATGCGATACACTAAACATTGCCAGTTTCAACTTTAGAGGATGGGAAAAAATAGTTTCAACCAATAATAATTCTCTTTGGTTTCAACCTGCAACAGATAGTGGCTGACGCTATTAGATTTTACTCCTACCTCTCGAACAATTAAAGTTGTGATGACTCTTATCAACATTTATAATGTAACCACCCTATGTAAAGCAAATAAACGACATTCCGTTCCCTTTCGTTCCGTTCCGTCCACGGAAGAAGTGTATGTGGCCTGTGGTTCCGTCCCTTCCCGTCCCATTCCATTCTCCATTGCATATCATTCTATAACATGACGGCACAGTTGTATAAATAGTCACTTCTCAATTAGTTCAATGCAAGGATTAGTGGAGAAGAAATCCATTCTTGTCGAGAGTCTATGATTAGTCGGTTGGATTTGACACGGCTGTCTCCGATTGGGAACTGCAATGCCAAACTATCAAGTTTGACGCTACCAAAATGCAAGTGTGTCTATTCTTCACAAAACGGAGTCCCTTTGACCTGACTTGGACTATTTGTGATAAATCCAAACTAATAGCAGACCGTCGTCAGCTACTTGGAATGATCCTGTTCTCCAGTTTGAACTTCGGCAGATACATAGAATAAATGGCCAAAAATGCAGCCAGGAAGCTTGACATCCTTTCCAAGATGAGGTGCTACTTCACACCGGCACAATTGCCTAAAAAAAAGTTGTACCAAGCACAAAGCCGGTCGTGTATGGAGTGTTACTGCTATGTATGGGATAGTTCTGCTAAATACCAACTGGCTACCTTGGAGTCAGTTGAAAAGCGTGCCGAAAGCCATAGGTGACTCGTATTTGTCGCGAAACTGCTCGCGCACTCGCTCGCCCTTCCCTATCCAAAAGCTACCCGCCTCCATCTCGCGGATGCTGTCGTTATCCTGTAGTTAAGTACAGGGTCAAGAGCACAAGCTTGACACTTAAAGCCTTACTAATAAAAATATTTAAAACAACTGCTTAACAACTGTATAGTTATACATTGTATAAACTGCAGATAAGAGTTACACACTCCCTTTACTAATAAAAGGTGTGCAAGCATTGCGTAGTTATAAATTAGTTAAAACAATAACCACTGGCAACATTTTTAGCGAGCGTTTTGATACTAGGTTGGAAAACCTGAGAGACATTTTGACAAATTTTTAAACAGCGTAATAATGTTATTTTTGTAATAAATAACATAAATTGTTAGCACAATAATTGACATTTCTTGTCTTGAAATGTGTCTAAAGTAATTTTGTATTTCTTTTACAATAAAAAAGTTCTTTTGGCAAAGGTTATCGTAAAAATTGTCAAAAACTTCATGAACGTACCTTTCATACATTGCTAAACGTCAAATTCAAAGTAAATTGCGTTTATTACACTGTATTTGGAAATTGTTACTGTGAAATAATGGCTTGTAATAGTGGAAACATTGACCAGCTCAAGGCGAAAAGAAAACGATCTGCAAATTGGGATACCTTAGAAAAGGTGAGAAGGAATTTTACTATACAAAAGATTTCCCACTCGGTCACAATTTGTAATCGAACTTTTGTATATTATCTTTCAGAATTTATTAAAAAGTTGCATACAGGAGTTTATATCCGTGTTAGAGAACAAAAACACTGACACTAATACCAATAAAAGTAAGACCATTGCTTGGCACACAGTAACAAAAAGGTTTGTAAAATACCACGTTTCACGCCTTTTGTTTAATGTTTCTTGTATTCTTCTAACCGTAATTGAGACAAAATGTTTTTCAGATTTAATGAATTTAAATAGCCGGGAGAGAGATTTAGCTGAAATAAAACAACAATGGCGTACAATGAAATTAGATGCTAAAAAAAATATGTCCCAGGTAAAGACATCTATCAAATGTACTGGTGGAGGACCAAAGCCTCCTAGCCCAGATCCGGAAACAATAGACATCTTAAGTATGATTCCACAGGAATTTGAAACAGATTCAAATATCTTCGACAGTGACAGCATAGCGGTGAGGATCTTATAATTTTTTTATTTTTGTGCATTGCATGAATTTTATTTAATGTAGACAGTATAATTGTGAGACAGTTACAAAATTATATCTTTCAAAGTCAAAGTCAAAGTCAAAGATGATTTATTCCATAGGTAAAATAAATTTACACTTGAAAACTTTATGAGTCTATGATATAAGTATAACTTTAATACACATTTTTCTATTTTATTTTAGAATCAGGAGGTGGAATGTGTCATGTCAACACAAGAGTATGTTCTCACTCCATTAGATAAGAAAGAGAATGTGGAAGAGGTTTGATAATTTAAATTTATTAATAAATGTCTGTATTATGCAGACCTCTATACATTCATACAATATTTAAAAATTGCTTATTTATTTATTTATATGTCTGGTTTTTTGTATCAGAATATCACACCACAACGTGTGAAGAAGATTAATTTATTTAAACCTTGTGGAACAAAACGGAAACTACCATTTAATGAAATGAAGCATAATGAACAGACTGCAAAATGTGAGGTAAAATAAAATTGCAACATTTAATTTAGGTAAAAGAATTAATGGCATGGTGGTTTGTATTTAATAACAAACTATTTATTTCAGGAACGGGACTTCACAAGAGAGCGCCATATAGTTCTTGTCAATTGCATAAGGGAGGAACATGAGCTAAAAATGAAAAATATGTTAGAAGCTCAGAGTTTTATTAAAGAAGAGCATGACCTTCAAGTTGAAAAATTAAAATTGGAAATTTTGTTGTTAAAATCTAAATTAAAATAATACAATGCTACAGCTAAAAGTGTGTTTCAATGAACAATCTTCTTGTTTCTTGGCCAGATTGGCTATCATTATCTCTCCTTGGCATTTGTTGATTATCATCATTTTCAGACAAGTGAGGTTCAAGAAAATCAATGTCTTCTTTCATATCGATGGCAATATTGTGGAGTATAGCAAGTGCTACAATGTACAATTTTACATTTTTTAGTGTTACACTAAATCCATGCAATAGACAACGAAACCTCTGTTTCCATACTCCAAAACACCTTTCAATTGGGTTTCTTGTCAATATGTGTGCTCTGTTGTAAGACTCTTCCTTCACACCACGGGGATTCTGGATTGGTGTAAACCAATAATTTGTTAAACCATAGCCTGAATCTCCTAGTAAACGGGCACTAAATTCCCCATTTTCAAATTGTTGTCGAATTCGACTTTCCCTGAAAATCCTTGCATCATGTGTACTGCCCCTCCAGTGTGCCACTATGTCTCTTATCTTCAATTGAGAATCACAAACTACCTGGACATTTAAGGATAAAGTTAAGTTAAGTTTTTTAAAATTTTCGTCAGTTGCGAATCGCGCGCGATTTGGAATACAGTTAGAGCTTTCTAAAAATTTTAAACTTGTGTTTCAGAGTTCGAGGATGCAGATCGAGAGCTTCAAAGGTGATGCGCAGTGGTACGCACGAGATGGCCACTTTTACGTGGCCTCTCGAGCGCGGGGAGCATCCATCTACATGCGCTGCCACAGCAACCGATGTCCAGCACGCTGGACGATGAAGGATGGGCAGCCAGGCCCCATCACTGGCGTACACGACCATGACCCTACCCCTTGGGTTGAGAGCCGGTAAGTGAATTTATTTGTCGTTTTTATGTTCAGCGAGTCTTACAGAAATCGCTTAATGTAGGTCTTATATGAAGAATTAAGTAGGTAATTCATTTTTCTGAATATTGTATCAACCTTTCTTGCTTTCTTCCTTTCTTCCTTTTTTGCTTCCTTGGAGCTACTTGTATAATAAAATAAATAAAGTTCTTGCCTTGTGCCCAGTAACTACTTTACTTTACCTTTGGAGACTTTTGCAAAGAACACTTACTTAGATACTATTCTTTGACTCATTCTTATTTTACTCACCCAATTTGAAATAATATGAATGTGATTAACTATTATTGTTGTATGTATAATAGAGAAGTACATGTGTTACCTCTTGTACTTTTAGAAAACTATGTAAATAGTATTAGTAGTAGTAGTAAGAAGTAGTCAGTATAGAATATAAAAAAAATAAATAAAATAAAATATTGTTTATTTCAGATTCGCATCCATAAAATTTTGTTAGTAGTTAGTAACAACAATTTACTTAGAACTAAGTTAGTAAGTAATAGAAGTAAGATTTTAGAAAACAATATAAGTAAGTAAGATTGTTGTAGAACGCCATTGTCACTTTTTTGATACTGTTTAATAAAATAATACGTTTTATTTCTACAGGAACAATATGTTCCAGGCTCTCAAAAGGAGAGCTGCTTCCGAGAGCACTCCCTTGAATACTTTATACCGAGAGGAAGTAACAAGGTATGAAAGCTTCTATTTAAAAAAATCATAAATGTATTTGTACCTACATCAGTTTATTCATATGTTTCGTGATGTATATAAAGTTCAAAAACCCAGGACGCTCTTTGTTAACTAATTGTTTTAGTAGCAGTAGAGCTCCTTGTGAAAGAATTCGTCCAGGGTAGTACTGCCACCTTAACCTATTTCTGCCGCCAAGCAGTAATGTCAGCATTACTGTGTTCAGGTTTTGAAGGGTAAGGGTGCTAGTGAAATTACAGGCACATGAGACTTGTCAACTTATGTCTCACAAATAAGGCGCACGACTTCTCCATCCTGTCACTTGATTATAAAAAAAAAGATTGGATTCCATCAGTCAGCCTTTCGTTGATGCATTGATTTATACCTACCTTCCGTCTTGGTAGGGTCAATGCTTCCGCCGCATAATCTAATTTGACTTTGTATGTACAGACATCCAGATGGCGCACCGCACCTCTTGTACGAGACCATGGTGTCTTCGATGCGGCTCTGGCGGAGGAGTCTGCAGCCAGGCGGCGGGGTTGCCCGCCTACCAAATTCTCACAATTCACGTGGTTATAGAAGGCCACTTCTACCACCCCGTGATGGTTCTCATGGAGAACAGGAGGAGGCCGCTTTACGAAGCGGTCTTGCAAAGAATTTGGCAGGAGGCTGACAACCCACGTCCGGCCGTTATTGTGACAGATTACGAGCGCTTCAGGCTGCTCTCGAATTTGTCACTCACACTCGAGTACAAGGTTGCCTCTTTCATTTTGTGCAGGTTAGTATTTAATTACTTTTTTTTATGTCAATTGCACGCTTTAACGAATAATTGAAATAATGTAATAGAATTGGTTTTCTTTTTTATTACATAATTTTTGTGTTTGTTATAGGCGTTGCTGAGACGAGCGCGGCAGATGGGCATCCAGGTGAGTAGGGTTGTCAAACTTAAATCATGCCTCTTGTATACTGTGACACAATTACAGTATAATAACATTTATTTACAAGTCTTGTGCTTATTTTCAAAAATATTCGTTAACTTTAATGCAAAGTAATATGCAGCCTCGCATTTGGTTTAATAAAGGATAGTAATTACAGTTAGACATATTAAATTTAAAGAATGATTCTGCATTCATTGATAGTCTGCATAGAGTGATAAATCTTTTATAATTACGGTTTTAGGACTCGTAGCAATGTTTAGGTTTTTCTTGGGATAGAATCCAAAACAAGGTTATTCGGCAGATCACCACACAAAGCTGACAAAATTCGGATTACTAGCAAGTCGAACTGCTGATGGGGCAGTGGCGGTCATCTGTCAGGAACCGATAACCATTGGGTGTATGCGAGTTCTGAAGTGGAATAATGGTGTTGCGCATTAGAAAGGATATCTAGCAAAAGAGGCGTAATTTGCCCGATTGGGATATTATTTTGTTTGGGAGCACTAGTGTAGGAGACATTTAACTGTACGCTGGCAGGTACGACGCAACTCTGCTGGCTGGCGCCTGGTGCAGCTGTACGGCGCGCTGGCGCTGCTGCCAGCGGCGCGCGTGCCGCTCGCGCTGAGCGAGGTGGCGCCGATCGCGCGCGACCAGGGCCTGTCCTACAACGAGGCCTTCCATGCCTACTTTGCAAACTACTGGATGACGCGGGTAACTTTTACTTATTCACGTGCAAACATATGTCCTGCTCGGCTTCTGGGTGTTTTGTACATATAAGCGAATAGTGTACTAGGGATGCCGCATCCGCAACAACGGATTATCTGCATATTTTTTAAATAATCCTACGTCCGAATCAATCGTGTGCGTTTATTTATTCAAGATAGCCCAGGCCTGGACGAACTCTTCACAAGGTGTTAAGCTGCAATAACTACCATTTTCTCTGCCACAGCATAAACACATAACTCATTCACATGCAAAATTCCCAAGCGCAACAAGTTCAAACTTTTGTAGACACCTGATATAAAATGATTTATAATATCATTCATCTTTTACAGCTGAGCAACAACCACCAACAGGCGCTGCAGCTGGTATTTCCCATATAGTACCGGGCCACGTCGTATATCACTGATATTTTATTGCACGCACCTTTGCCAGACATGTTCTCGTCAACACAGCCTGCTATACCTAAATACATACTAAATTGTTCCCTTTATGTTTAATTTAAGAAACTATTGATCTACAATAATGATGTTGCTTACAGCACAGTACAGATAAATAACTTGTTATGTTGTGTGATCATTACCTTATTACCTAGAACATACTATATCCTATACCATACTTTTTAATAAACCAAGTGTAAAAACAGATGAATCACAATCATTGTGAGATCAAAGCTAATAATCACTATCTACTGTCATATTTTTTCAAATGTTTATATATTTTTTCAAATGTTTAATTTTTTTAAAGTTTAATAGAG